ACATGGAATTGACTAGGAGAGCATGATGGAGAATAGGGAAACGCTCTATAGAGGCGTAAAAAACCAGTGCATCTCGGCTTCGATCCATCGTCTTTGGAGGCAAATTGCTCATCTCCTCGGATCCTAGTCCTTGCCATGTGTGAGAAGGTGGGTACGCAGCGACAGCAGTGTGCCACTTTCTACGGCTCAAAGTGGACCGGCATGGAACTGGAGAGTAGTTATATCAGAGTGCCGTTTCATTCCTCCGCCACCGCTGCCGCACAGCTTGTCATACCCCTATGTAAGTCAAATGCGCTAGTCGCGGGCGCTCTTTCACTTCTGGTTTTATTCACCACTGAGTGTATGCCTCGCTGTGGGATCTTGGTATCGACGAGAGTGCTGCACCATTAGGATGGGACAGGCGAGTATGGGGACGACACTCGAGTAACACTACCATCTAGCCCCGTTCTCGTGCCCAGTAACTGGCACGCTCCCTCAGAAGAGGATGCACAGTGTGCTTACAAGCCCAATGGGAAAACTTATAGGGCTTTTATGATTTATGAGCGTTTCAGCATCGATCGTCGTTAGATGGATTCATGACGATTGTGGAAACAAATAAGAGCTGAAAAGCAAGTCCTCAAGAGGAGGTTCAAAAATAGTTCCTGTACAGAGTACCGAATAGCTCACGATAGCAAAATATCGGCCCTAGCGGCACCACGTTAGTTCATGCTAATCAAAATCGTCTAATTGTAAGTCATACCTTGTGGAAGTCGACAAAGTGGAAATTATCGAATAGTCGTTTTGGAATGTTGTCGTCAAATCGTCCCATCATATTCCATGGACCGTCACCGACACCCACCCTGAAATGGCCGAAGGTCAATTGAAAGAGTTTCTCGTACAAAACTCTTAACTTACATAATGATACTGAGCGGGTAATGTGATGCGGCGGCGATCGCCTTCTGATTGATCTTCTCATTTGTTACTTGTCCATCGGCAACGATCACAAGGATATGGTACGAGTGCTTCTCCTTGCAGATTTCGACTGCACGCTCTGAAAATTAATTCTTTCCTCACAGGTTTTCGATCCTATCTTGGTAACGATGTTGTTGGGTGGAACTCTAACGGTGGCCGAACGTTGTGACAGGATCTTCGTCCACCCAGAGACAAAAAGAGCCCAAGGTTCGGTAGTTACTCTCTTCATACCGTCAAACGCCTCCACTCGCCAGCGTTTCCGACGGAATTTTCGGAGAACAACCGATAAGTCCGAAGGAGAAACGAGCTCACCCAGCCTAGCGCCGTATGAGCGGAACGATTTCACCCGTACTAGATGTTTTTAATAAGTCCTACTGTGCTGCCCCTGTATAACAAGCATAGTTACGACTCACGTGTCACTGTTCTCAGCAGTAGCTCGCAAGGTGGTACGAGACAAGAGAGGGAGAAGGCCACTTGAAATCAAGGAACACCGTGGATG